AAAATAACTAACTTTAAATCATCTCAAAAGGAAATACAACTCTTATTTGTTAATCATAGCCAAGAGCTGTAAAGTTCCAGCAGTACTCTCTAGGATGTTGAATCTATCACAAATGCTGCTTGAAAACATCCCTTGACATCAGACCTAATCTCCAATTGAATTAATTTCACCTACCAAAATGTATAAATTCTCTTTTCCCCAATTCTCATTTAATTATAATTTTCTTGTTTGAGAAGAAATTTTCCACCCTTGGGATCGGTGCAGCAGAGATACAGGTAGTTATCCAAATAAGATATAGGTAACTCGTTAAATACTTTTCTTTTGTCTTGTGTAGAAATTTGGTTGGAACTTGACAGTGCTATTAGCTTATGGAAAAAAAACTGCAGATCGTGAAAATGCATGTTGCACTCTGACTATGGTATGTCGAGTTTGAACAGACTGTTTTGAGATTTTTGTTACTGTGAGTGTTATTAACATGTATCATTATGTGTGGAGGTGGCAGGCATATTCCAGCTCTCGCTTAGAGTTGTACAAGACCCTTGGGCATTTTCTGCTTTTATGGCTTTGCAGTTTCATAATGGAATTTGTTGCCACAAAGTGCACACACAGAACAGATGAAATTCCCAACAATTGGGAAACTCAATTAGCATAAGATTTCCAGTCATTGCTGCAGATCATTCACAGATATTGAAGTCAGTTCATACTTCAGTGGTCTGTCCGTGAGGCTATTCCAGTTACACGAGCTAATTTGTGCTGCTTCTAAGTTTTTCTTAAAAACTTCAAATGTGCTTCGGTTGCATCTTGATGCAGAATAGAAAAGATGCATAATGGGGGGAAAATTCACATTGTTTTCTGTTCTGATCTCTCCCTTGAATTTTATTAAAGTCATATTAAAAAAAGAAGGACCTCCCCCAGCCCCCAGTGCAAAACTGGACCTTATGCTCCACTGACTTCTAGTGGAGCATAAGTTCCTAGGTAATTTTGACAATTTTGAAGAATCTACTTATTGAGAATTTTTTAAAACTTAAGAGTTAAGAATAAAATTAATAGTTGAAACTTTTACAAGCTGGAAAACTGTTGCCAAGAGTTACAGTCATTATTTCTATCAAAAGCAAGAGCTCCCCAGATTGTGGTATAACGGAGTTGTACAGCTGCTTGTATTTTGAGGGCTTAAACAATTTGTGATGGTAACATTTGAAACCTTGAAATCACAGGTTTAACCTTCAAAATACACAGACTTTACAAAGTAAAAGCAAAATAAGCTTCATCTTTTAGAGATTTTTGCAAGCTTTATTTCTTTTTGGAAAAAGGCATCTAAGCACACAATACACTAATAAAGATATTAATGTAAATTATATAGAAACAGGTCTAAAAATTGACCAACTACCAGATTCTTATGGAGTAATGGGTGTTTAACTTAAGTCATGAGAGTTACTCTATAGAATTTCTAGATTAGAAAGATGGAAAATCAAATTTACAACTCTAGCAAAGTTACTTGCATTCTATGGGAGTGTAGTAGTATTTCATATACCTTTTTTTTCCATACTGTTTTTGGTAACATTAAAGGAGGGGAGAGCAAAAAATGCAGTGCAATCTTAAAGTGATTCCTGTGAGTTAAATTGCTTTTGAAATGTTGCGGACAGTACCTGGAAGTTGTTTCTCTGGCTATTTCTGCTCCACTCAGCAATGTCCCAATGCTGAGAGATGCTGCCTGTAGCTCATTTCTGCTCATTCAGGAAAAGTAGTTCACTGGTAATTCCTCATCTGAGAGTTAAAAGGTGCTTATCTGCCCATTTAAAACCATGTTTACATACATGTGATGCACACTTGTAAGATAGCTGCTACCCATTGAACACACTGAAATTGTGTTTTCTTATTAATTCCTGTGTCATGTAGCCCACTGTAGAAGTTACAAGGACAAAACCCAAATGACTCAAACAGTGTTATCTACAGCACCCTTCACCAGACTTAATGTGTTTTTCTTCCCCGAGTTATGTACTCTATCTTTCTAATACACATTTTAAAACTCATCTCCTTAGGGAAGATCTCAGTATTCCTGTTCTTACAGGTATTTCTGCATGTCATCTACCACAAATACAGGCAGCCATGGTTTCACAGCACACAAGGGGCTCTTTTTTTTTTTTTTGGACAAATTTCTGTACATTTTGTCTTATCCTGCAAAAGCATTATGTTTCCAATATCTATTTTCATGGTTAACTGCTTCAACCTCTACTCTTATAGCTGTGACCTTGTTACAGTAGAAATCCTGCATCAAAGAAGAATTTACTGTAGTATGCCGTGACCTGCATTTCTTGCCTCATGCCTGCATGCTACCAGACACTTCCTGAATACCAACAGAACAGGGATTTGCATTTCAGTACATCCTGCCCAACAGGCTAACCAAGGTCCCTTTTACAGTTCAGGTAGAAAACTCAAGTAACCCTTTAAAGAGCAATGGTTTCAGACTGAAAGGGGTTTGCTCTAAAACTGTTCTAAGATCTATGTGTAAGTACTAATTTTTACAGATATTAAGCTTCCAATGACTTCCTTGAGAATGTCAAGGACTCAGTAAATTATTGCTTCTGAACACTTGTACTTTCAGCCAAGTGTGTGTGCTTTTGATTGCTTTGTCATGGCCGGAATTCAGTACTCGTATATAAAAATTTATGGGGAAATATTAAGAGTACACAAGGACATTAGTCAATGAATACCACTGTAGGGAGAAGGAAGGCCGTAAAGAGCAAGAGGTTAATTTAGGAATTCTGACTCACCATCCTGAGGAGCTGTTCTTTCTCTTCACTGATCACAGACAAAGCTTCAGTGCACTGTGCAAGCAAACTGAGTGTACAGTTGAGTGATGTGAATTTTCCTCCATAAGCATGTCTGTGGATGATTTTAATAGCCATCAGGTAAATATTTGTAATTCCTAATCTTTGGGCGCAGAGAAGTGGGAGGGGGACTTCTTGCCTTACCTTATGTTCAGGAAGTTGCCTTTGGTTGTATAAAGCATATACCTGAGCTAGAATAATTTTAGATAGTACCTATATAATTCTGTAATTATTTTCCAGTTCCTACGAAGATCTTGCTTAGATCCACATTCTTCAGTCTATTTTCCGCATGCTAGGTCCTGAAAAAGGGCATGAAAGACTTCCTATCAACTTCATTAAAAAAAAATAAAATGACCAAACAAACCTTAAGTCTTTTGGAAACCCTCTAGTTCACATTTGCTAGCCCAATTTCTCTTTCGAGCCATGAAAACTAAATTCTAGGGCAATGACTTATACAAGAAAAAATCCCCACAAAACTATATATAACTAAATGTGAAAGCATTATGCCTTGCCTTCGGCATGCCCAGCAACATCTACTTCTTTTTGCGATGAAGGTTTAAAAGTAACACTGGCAAAAAATGTACATATTAAAAAATTAAATTAATTGTTTCATTTTGGAGAGCGCCATGAAAAGAATGTGGCACGTTTTCAGGTGGAAAATCCTGACTCTTAATCAAGAAAGCTTTCTAAACTAATCACCTGTAAAAAGGGATTCTCTAATACTTGCAGGATAAAGTAATTTTTCTTAGAGATCTTGAAACATATCCTACTGTGAGACACTTGGTTAATAATATGCTGGGTTTGCAGTTGAATGCCTTGACACAGAGGCTATGTTGCTCTAGGTTTTGTTATTCTTAGTTGCCTTCCTAAAATCCATGTTGTGCATAAGTGTGCTATTGTTATTTTTTCTTCCTTCAATACTTATATTTTTTTCAAAGTGAGATCAGATATACGTGCTGTCCTTTGAAGGTTTCTGCTGGATATAATGTTTGTCTCCTTGGCAGTGAAATCTGCATGTTCAACCTTCTCACAGCTATATAAATGCTTGTTATGACAAATATGAATGTACTTGAAATAAAATGCTGTGCATATGTGTGACAAAAGACTTGTGCTTCGTATTAGATAAAATGTACACAAATTTAGACACACATATTTGTATAACCTTAGAGTGCTGTGAAATACACCCTTTTGTCATTTAAGATTCTGTTTATATGAGCTTGACTTAATCGTAACAGATTTCAGGTGACTGACATATTCCTGATGGGCAATTTGGGTTTTGATTGTCAAATTTCAGACCACTGAAACAGAAATCTTTATATCCTAATCAAGACAGAATTGCCTTGACTTCATTAAATTATAAAAGTGTCTGGATAGGGTAATGCCAAGAGCTGAAAATGATCTGTGAGTTCTGTCATAACATGTTAATAACTGTGTAGTGGGGTTGAGGTAGACAGAAGAGAGTGCATGAATAATTAAGACAGTGATATTTTTATGACAGCATCAAAATAGGCAAGGACACTCAACCCAGTGTCTTCCAGATGAGACTCCTTCAGCAACATAACACTTTGCTTTCCTGGTTGTTCTTTGGAATGCAAAGACTTCTAGGAAATCTTGAGGTTGGAATTCTCCTAGTCACTTTGTTCATATTAAAGATGCATATATCTATGCTTTTAGTTGTTAAAGGCTATTTTGACTTTAGTCTCAACTCTGAATGCCCTAGGTTTCTAAGGGATTTTGTTGTTGCGAATTATATAATTTTCGTATGGCAGCTTTTTCTTTAAAAAAAGAAACAAACAAGCTCCACAACAATTGCTAACAAAGAACACAACCCTTGGAGCATGATCTCTCACTTAATGAAGTAATGTTTAGGAAGAAATATTAGCTTGATCTCATTTTTTTTTCTCCCTAAGTCCTAGTTCTTGGCCATCGTACTTTATGAATCAGATGCTAGACACCCTACTCTGAGTAGTTTTGAAGTTAGTGATGCTATTTGAGTTAGTAGTTAGTAAGTAATGGAGTACCACCTGAAAAGCTTATTGGTGTTAGATTCATAATATGAGCTAGCAAATTTTGAGTTAACCTGCTAGGAAAGGAAACACTTATCAAGAGGACTTCAGTCCCATTTGCAATGTTTGTGAATGATTTAATTGTTTTTCTTTATTTTTCTTACAGGAATTGTTTCAATTATGACTCTCACTGTTCTTGCCTATGAACGCTACATTCGAGTAGTCCATGCCAAAGTGATTGACTTCTCCTGGTCTTGGCGGGCTATCACGTACATCTGGCTCTACTCGTTAGCCTGGACTGGAGCACCTCTTTTGGGCTGGAACAGATACACATTGGAAATTCATGGATTAGGTTGCTCAGTGGACTGGAAGTCAAAAGACCCCAATGATACCTCTTTTGTGCTCCTTTTTTTCCTTGGCTGTCTAGTTGTACCTGTTGGCATCATGGCTTATTGCTATGGCCATATTCTATATGCAGTAAGAATGGTAAGTTAATTCAAATAAGACCTTCTCTTAATGTAATATTTTCAGTGGAAAATGTTGATGCTGTACGTTCAGCTTGTATCAGAGCCTAAATTTGCACTCTCACTTTCTGTTCAAACTTAGGAATGTTTAATGTTCATTCATGTCAGGCACCACTAGAAAGGATGTAAGGTTGGTTGGAAGAAAAGCAACCTGGAGCTACCAAGGTCTATTTGTTGTGTAGTTTTACTGGGAGGCAGGTTAGCGAACTGCTTATGCTCACCAATCCACATCAGAACCTCCCTTGAAAAGGGGGAAAAAGAAACCTCTGTTAAAAGTTTTCTTGATTGAAGAACTCTCCCTCCTCCTCGCCACTCTTAAGAAGATCACCCTGTAAAACTCTTCCAAGTGGAGATTAAGCCCAGTTAAAACAGCTTCCCATGTTAAGGCAACCCATTTTAATTCAGCCCAGATCTTTAGTGTCAGAAAGTGTTAATGTTTTATATTCTCTGGGTAATTGGTCTGGCCTCATTCAAGTTTGTGGTCAACAGTACTGGCACAGCTGATAATTTATGGAGAATGCTTACATACATGTCCCATCTTTTCCTCATTTTATGACTCGGTTCATACTGGGAACCTACAGCCTATTATTCTGCTTTAAAGAGAGATTTCATCATTTTAAGGTAATAAACTATGTGGCAGAGACGTACAGAGAAATCTCTTTATGAAATTCTCTTCTCTAAAGATTGCTGATGACACAGTCTACAGCTTGTAATGCAGCGTGTTTTGTTACATCACTGGATTTATTGTTTTCCAGTAGATTTGCTATGGCATTTTTCCTCAGATTATTTTTTTACACTTTATATACACCATAAAAGTTTGGGAAGCACGATGTATACTTCCAGAAGAATTATGCTTCACAAGATGAGGTGTATAGTATCTGTTCTTAAAACTAAATTAGTGAATTATTTATAAATAAGTGTAGAACTTACTCGGTTTCAAGTAAAATACAGAGCTATTTTACCAATATCTTTTATCTTTATATTTACAGAGCTATTTTAGCATTTTATCCTTTTCTTTTACAGCTTCGCTGTGTGGAAGATTTCCAGACTGTTCAAGTGATCAAACTTCTAAAATATGAAAAGAAGGTGGCTAAAATGTGTTTCTTAATGATCTCAACATTCCTTATTTGTTGGATGCCCTATGCAGTGGTCTCCCTCCTGGTAACATATGGCTATAGCAACCTTGTAACTCCAACAGTAGCTATCATCCCGTCTTTCTTTGCCAAGTCAAGCACCACTTATAATCCAGTCATCTATATCTTCATGAGTAGAAAGGTAGGTACATTAAAGATTTTCTTACTTGAATAATTAGTAACTAGTACCACAGTTGTCAAATTTAGATGTGATTTACTTTAATCTGTGAAGCTTGGATTTTTTTTGAAAGTTTGAACAGCTAGGATAAATGGTAAAGATCTAGTAGAATTAAAATCCCTGATGGTGCTTAAAGTAGTTACCTTTTCAGAAATTGGATTTTAAATGTCTGAATTCACACATGAGTACTCACATGAAAGGGAGGGGAAGGAGTGTCAAAGTTTACGCGTCTAGTTTTCATGGTTTACCCATGAAATGGATTACAACTAGAAAACCTCATCTGAATTGTTCCCTTACCACAACAGAGCTCCATTAGAGAAAACTCAGAATATCTAGTGTCTTTTTTTAGGAAGAAAAAACTTTCCTCTGACTTTTCAGTTATGGCAACACAAGATTGAACAACTTGGCATAGTATTTCAAATATTATACCTGTAACATTGCTCAGAGCTTCATTGTATTCAAAGACAAAATCTCATGTGTATGACAGCAAAATGTTTTTTGGAGACAGACTGTATACTGTTAAGAAGACCTACTTATTTGAGAAACAAGTTTTTATTATGAGAAATATTTTTATTATGAGAGTCTTCATTATGAGCAATAGACTACTGATTTAATGGTGTTAACTGGCTCATTTCAGTGCTTTACAGAGCAAAGAGAGTGTAAGTATTTGGAGTTATCAGTGGCATGTCGTCAAATATGTGGAAACTAGAAAACTATACATCTTTCTGTAAATCATCAGTACTGTGAACATGACCACTGAATGCAGTTAGAAGGTGCTGGTGAATTTATTTAGACATTAAAATAGCTTCACTGTAACCCAGAACACTAACTGGAAGTGTAGCATGCACATTGTAAAATTCTGAAACGAAGATTGTATAGAGCTAAAGATATCTGGAGTATAATGGAATCACTTGACAAAGGGTAAAAAAACATGAATGACTGTCAGAAGGATTTCACTATTTTTTCATTACCTTTTAGCTCGTTACAGAGATGGAATTTTCTCTTATTTCCTACACTGGTTTGCAGTTGCCAGCCAGCAGCCTTGGCCAGCCAGCAGTTTGTAGGGACAAGGCAGCCAAGTCAGTGTGTTGCCAAGGGTGAGCTTAAATGCTGTTCCTGAGTGAAGGCAGGAGGCCCCCAGTGTGGCATCTTGCAGCTCTTCCCCTACAGCTCATTGCACAGCAGGTTGATGCAAATTTACACAGCTGCATGATATCAGAGGTGGCCTGGATATGGGCAGCTACCAACAATCATGTTCAAAAAGAGTATTCTTTTCAACAGAGTGATTTTTTTTTTTTTTTTATTTTTTTTTTTAATACAGTAACAACAACTCTGTACCTAGATGTTAGGTTGAATAGTTTATCTGAAAAAGATTTTGTACATTCTGATACCAAGAAGCAAATCAAACTAGTACAAGGCACAATGCTGGTAAAGTCATAGCTGAGATAAGAATGAATCAGCTGAACATGCTTATTGGAGATAGATTGTGAAGTACATCTCACTCACCCCTAATTCCAGATTAAGACCAAAACAGTAATATTTTTGCTTATCTTCTGGATTATTTTCAGAAGGAATCTTAAAACCAGTTCTTTAGAATATCCTTCCTCTCTCTGATCTGTTCTAACGTGCTTGTGCCTTCTCACTTCCATGCTACTTGGAGGTACCACATTATCTCTGAAATCTTCAAGGCCTCCACATGACCATTCTCCTGCACCAAATTATTTTTCTCTATAACCTTGTAACTTTCTAGGTTCCCCTTCCCAACAGGACCTATTGCTTCCCCTGTGTCAAAGTGGGATTAACTTCCTGTAACAAAACCTTGTTCCAAACTGCTGTGTTAGAGAGCTGGAAAAGCAAAGTTGCTGGCCATGCAGGATAATACAGAATAATCCTTAACACAGCTAAATGGAAAGCTGTTGAGAAAGATGTCCTACTCCTTTTTCAGAGAAAAGAGGTGGGTTGTTTCCTCCCTGACCCTGTTTGATGCTGTGAGTTTTTGGTTTTGTTTTTTTTTTAAGTCCTCTTCATACATTCCAGACATGTTTTGTGATGGTTTATTAAAAGAAGCAGCAGCTGCCCACTTTTTTTCTTGTAAAACCAAAGCACTTTCCCAAAGGATCATGTTTGAGCTTTAGATGTGTGCAGACATGGAACTGCTGAATGCTTTGCTTTGTGAAGGGGAGACTATAATTGGAGCATTTAAAACAGTGCTACTACTGGAATTATTCTATATACTGATGCAAACTTTCACTGAGTACCTTGCATTATGTAGTCACAAGATAGAACAGACTTCCTGTATCATAAGTGGCTTCTAGTTAGCTGAAAGACTTAGCAGAACGTGTAAAATTTAATTTTACATCTATGACATTCAATGCTTTTGTTAAAATTCCATATCCTGGAGTTACTTTAAAGGAAGAAGACATCACTTTGTATCCCCTTCCTCCCCCTGTTCCTTCACTCTGCATCCTCAAGTGAAGTGTTTCTGGGAATATTCTTCCCCTGCTAGATCAAATGTGTGACTCTTGAATATGGGAACAGTACTTACAGCACACTTTGGAGCCTGGTTCTCTTGTTCTCAACAGATTGTCAATTGTAGATCTTGCTGCTGGTGAAATATTAAATCGCATTTCAGTGCCCTCTACTGGCTAGGTGATCCTATTCAACTGGTGTAGAGAAGAAAGTACCCACTAAAAACCCACCATGTTTGTTACAGTACTGAAACTAGGAACAAGGAGATATACAGAAATCTTATTTTGAGTCATTCACTGAACTGCTGTCTTCACTGGATTGTACACAATAGTGAATGCTTAGGAAGTTGTAACTTCATTCTATTTATTCTCTTTTGCAGTTTCGACGATGTCTTTTGCAACTCCTGTGCTTTCGCCTGATGAGATTCCAGAGGACTGTGGAAGAAACACCAGCAACAGGGAAGGACAAACCAATACGACCAATAGTTATGTCTCAGAAAGCAGGGGACAGGCCAAAAAAGAAAGTGACTTTCAGCTCTTCTTCCATAATTTTTATTATCACCAGTGATGACGCTCAGCAAATAGATGACAACAGTAAACACAATGGGACAAAAGTAGATGTCATCCAAGTAAAGCCACTATAGGGATGAGCTAGAGAGACGTGAGAATGAGATGGACTTCAACCAGTAGACTGTTTAGGTTGGAGACCAGTTTCAGTGGCAGTGTCTGTGGGCTGCCAAAGGAAACCACATTCTTAAGCTGTGAAATACCGAAGGGATTCTGCATCTGAAGCTCTGCAGGCAGTTCAGTTTTGGTCACAGTACTGAAATCTCTGCATCTGTGCCAAAATTGCTGATGGATGTCTTTACTCTGAATTTTTCTTAAAGCATATTATAGGATTGCTGTTCACAAGAACTTGGTTGAGCTGAAGGAATGTGCTGACAGAAATGTTACAGAGTTCAGCAAGGGCAAGCGCGGAGTCCAGCGCTTGGAAAGGAGGAACAATGCTGCAGCACAGCAGGCTGGGCCCTGGCTGCCTAGGATGCAGGTCTGTGGAAAAAGATGTGGAGTCCTGTTGCTCGATGAGCAGGGCATGAGCCTGCAGTGTGCCCTGGCATCAAGGAAGGGCACCAGCATCTCAGGCTGTACTGACAGGATTGAAGGCAGTAGTCTGAAGTGATTATGTCTTGACTCAGCCCTCACTAGGCCACATCTAGATACTGCACCCAGTTTTGAGACCCCAGTACAAGAAGGAGATCTGTAAACTCCGGTGAGTTCAGTGGAGTCCCCCCAGATTGTCAGGGGTTGCAGTACTTGGCCTGTAAGGAGAGGCTGGGGGAGCTGCACTTGGAACTGGAGAGGAAACATCTTCAGGGAAGCGTAATATCAACCTTCCAGTAGAGGTGGTGAGGTCTTCAATAAGATGGAGCCAGGCTCTTCAGGGTGATTCACTGTGGAAGGATCACAGACAAGCATGAACTGAAATGAGAGATTTGGATGGGATATAGAGAAAAGCTTTTTCACCCCAAGGACAGTCAAGCAGTGGAACAAGTCAAGCTAGAGATTTCCTGAGTTTCCTTCCAGTTTCAGCTATCCTGTGATCCTTGAACTGCCGACATTCCCAGTGCACACAGTTATCGGGGGAGGATGGAGAAATGCTTGAAGATGGCTGCAGTTTAGTTGGCCTGAATTAGTGTTTTTCGGGGTGGGGAGAGGGAAAAGTGATGTTGACGGTGACTGGGGTCATGGTTAAACCAGAAGCCCCCAGAAAACTGTTCCTGTGTACTCAGCAAGCTGTTCTCTTGGTGCTACATAGTAGGACCCCTGAGCTACATAGTGTAGAAAATCATGCAAATCAAAGCACCAATGAGAAGGTCAATGAAAAGGGAGGATTGGATTTTTTTTTTTTGTTACGATACGTGCTTTGTGCATCTTTATCTTGCATCCATTTATTCTATACTTTGACCAGGAACATCATCCTATATTAATGTCAAAGCTGCACTGGCACTCAAAGTAATGGTTAGAGAAGAGCAGGGTAATTTTTGCCTAAGTTGCAGTGTGAGTAAGGATTGTCTTACTTGGAGCTCAGTAAAACGGACTGATGGAGATTTTTCTTGGGTTTTTTCCTCTCACCTTTGTAAGTGTTGCTGGTACAAAGTGGCAACAGGATTCTGCCCCAGACACGACTTCCTGTCAGCATTGGGTGAGTAAGTTAGAGAAGTAATTTTGAATTATGGTGGCTGGTTCTCTACCACATCCGTTGCACCGGTATAATTTCTCTGCCTCAGTCTGCTAAATGGGCAGCGTGATTCTGCAACATGCAGCTTTTTCATCTCTGTGAAAGCTGTAAGAAAAGAAGTTAAGAAACTGCTTGCTTCCTCTGGGGGCAAATCTTCTGAGCGGTATAAAGGGAACGTGCTAAATAACTGTTGGCACTGTAGCCATTGGTCCTGCAGTCAAGAATAAAACTTAAAATAAATAGAGAAAAAATCAGGGTCTAAATGTAGAAGCTTTCAGCTAGTTCCTGAGTAGGGAGTGACCTCAACTCAGAAGTGACTGACTTTGTGCTTGTGCCCATGCTTTTGAAGCAGCCCATTTGTTATATGTGCACCCCTCTAGAGCTTTAGCACTGGTAAACTGGCTCTCTGTTGTGTTTAAAAGTGCATCCAGAATCTACTCTTGTTTCTAGATTAAACCACATAGAAAACAGATAATAAATACTTTTTCTTTCATATTTATTATTTTTGGTTTGCTACAAATGCATAGATAAGTTGTCTTACCATGTCAGAGATCTGTCCTTGCTGAAGCATGTTCACTGCAATGTCAAGAACTGTATTTTCAGCCAGTGATCACATCTATGCACACATATATTTACGAAGGGAGATAGATGTGCATTAGCATACCATGTAATAATTCCATCCTTTTAACAAAATGTTTGACATTTTTAGTGTTTTAGTGTTTTCTGTATGTTGAGCCTTCAATGAGTGATTAAATGTACCTTATTTATATCAATGTGTTCTCGGTGAAATATTTTTTTCCTCACTGAGAGGGAGATGGTTTGGTATTGTCACTTGTTGGATGCAGCTTGAAGGGTAGCATTAGGGCCTGAGAGAACAATAGCATTTCAGGATTCCAGTTGACCTTTTCAAAGAACAAGTATAGGGTCTGTAAGGAGAAACTATCCACTGTTCAGATTTATGAAGGTAAAACTTGAGTAATTAACAATAGCAGTATACGATTTTTAAAAATAATTGATGCGCAGCATATTTACCACTACAATACATAGCACACTGACAATTATGTAACAATATATGAAAACTCAACACTAAAAATTATTGTAAATTTGTTACCTTGGCTACTTTTGTGTAAGTTGATGGCCTTAAATGATAAATTTTGTGAACTGTTTGAGGTAGCTTGTTCCTATAGCCTGTAAAGTGTCACTGGCTTTGTAAGTGTGGCCATGTTGAGTTAGCATGCTGCAGTTCTATTTGCTTATCTTTTAAGCCTAACTCTTTGCTGTGGGTAACTGCAGCACTGATGCAAAATTCACACCCTGCTACAGAATTTAAGTGTTGTAACAATCATTCTTGGAGTATCACCAGGTTATTTACGGATTTGTTATATATATGGGGTTTTCTAAATTTTAAGTCTGTCTTTGGTCTGTTCTGGGGAAGTTGCAACTGGGTGGTTTACCACCATGGAGATGCAGAAACTTATGTGGGACCTTTCTCTCCCATTACAGGGAATGGAAGAGGAAGATGGTTAGCATTAACATTTGGACCGTTAGCTGTTCCTAAAGTACCAGAAATGCAGACTTAAGAAAGAGGAGGAGAAAGTGTGAAGGGCAAAAGGATAAGAAGAGATGAGAAGGGTACAGTATTTACAAACATTTTAAATAAACTAGTTGGTAAGAACTTTCATGACCCTGTCATGCAAAAGGAAGTGGCAGGTGTGGTGAGTACCATGATAGCCTCAGAGCCAATTAATTTCTCTTAATAGTGTTTCATTGATTTCATGCATTACTGGAAAAATACATATGATGATTTAGCTAGAAGGCTATTTGTAAATTTGCAAATGCAGGAGCCTCAGTTAAATTGCCTCCCAGCAGCTGGTGTGTCAGGACTCTGTTGGGAGGCACTTCTGCATCCCCTTCATGCTAGGGGAAGGATCCCCACTCACCCTGTGTTTTGAGGCAGTTATGAATCCTGGAGCTTTGTCCACTGACCTGCCAGTGCAGGGGCTTCTGCTGCTGCTCTGGATCCTGTGGAGGCAAGAAGCTGTAGGATGTGTGATGTAGATCTGCTCCACAGCCTTGTGACCTTCCTCCTTTTTTAGCTCCCAGAAGAAGCTAGATTTATGCTGAATGTATCTGACTTCATGCAGAAGAGTCTTGCATTATTAAGACATTTTTATCACAATGATCACATCAGTCAGGAGATCAGTATTCACAGGCATTATCCTTTGTGCTCCTGTCCTTTGCGTAATAGCAGTAACTTGCTGCTGTTTCCTGCTCAAATACTGTGGCAGCTAAGTGAAATATGTATTCAAGCACTGTGTTGTGCTAAACCATTCAGAAAGAACAGCCTTTAAGAATACCTTTATCCTTGGCTTATATAAACAACCTTCAGCTCAGGAATGGAATTTGGATGTATAATATCAGAGGTAAGAGATGAAGAAAATCTGACTATGCTGGTGGAAGTTTTCACAAACTCATATCTCATATATAAACATCTCTGAAAATATCTGTTGTCAGGTATTTCTTTTTCAGCCTATTTCACCACAGTTAAGGAGCCATATTTTTCTGTCTCAAAGGAAAAGGGGGGGGGTGGGCGTGAGGCTGGCACAGTCTCAGAGAGTGGGCATGCCTGTTCCTGCTGCTATTAAAGGTTGGCAGTAGGTGCCTCTCTCGAGTTGGACTGATACTTGTACCACATGCCTCAGTCGCTCCCTCGGTGGCAGCAAAAGCAGGATGAAAAGCTGAGAAGTGCAGAACTGACCTCCCTTTCTTCTGCCACAGGCAAGCGCTGCAGCCCTTTAGTCCCAACTGTCTTGACTCCCAGGGCTACTTTACCTGCTGCTCTGACCTGACTCTGCATTTCATCTGTCCAGCTCAAGCTGAACATTATCAATGCCTTTCTCTCTCTCTCTCTCTCCTTACCGGATTAGTATTGAAGAATTACTTGTAATGCATTAAAGCTGAAGAGGAAATTAAATTGATTTTCAGTACAAATTAGAACGCAGGTTCTTAGCAACAGACTTGGCATCAAATGCTGCCTGGACCCAGCTCTTCTGCATCTAGTTTCGTTGCATTTTCAACAGTGTTTGTGCTCCCTCTTGTGGCTTGCTCTGCCCGGTACCTGCTGATAGAAGAATGAGCATGGCCTTCTAAAAACCTGTTTTCATTACACATTTCCCCTGCATATGGGAAGACTCACTGTTTTTTCTATTATATTTTGTTTATATTGCATAGACTTCTGTCTGAAATTTATGGGAAATAGATATCTGTAAATAATGGGAAATCTGGCCTGCCAGAGTGATAATTCGAGGAGCTTATGTCTTTGCACGTTCTGGAGAATGCAGCCAGATAGGAGGCTGGTTATACAGCTTGTGTAGGCATGGTGCTGGAGCAGCATATTAAAGTGCTTCTAAATCCATTTTTTGCCTTGCTGAAACTTTCTCCAAATCAAGGTAAAATTCCATCTGTTATCTTTATAGATAGATAACTGAGACTGAGGCCAGAATATAGTGTACAATTATTAAACCTTACTTAATAGGCCTGCTGCCACCCTCTTCTTTATTTATATTAACTGAATTTTTATTACATTAGTTGAGCTTCCAGGTGTAGCTAAAATGGGATTTTGTTTCTATGATGGATGGATCTGAGAGAGAGAAATTAGAAAATACTCTTCATCTTCACATACCCCATTGTCTTCATCATTCATCCAATCGACTTGCATCAATACACCCTCAATACACTGTGCCTTTCATTTAGTTTGCTGTGCTGGTGCGAGGTATGCATTGAGTACATGAGATGGGCCATGGCAGGTATCTTGAACAGTGTCTCTGCAAATTTCATCTGCAGTTACTCTTTTCTAAGGCATGCTGAAGCCTTCAGAAAGAGGCACACAATTGGACAATACTTTATTTCCTTATACTAAATACACATTTATTTTAGCACCTTTTTTGTGTAATGTGTCTGCCAGTTGGGCTTGAGGAGAGCTTAAAGTACACTTGATGGGCTGTTGAACATGAATTCTAATTATGCTGCTAGAGATAAAACACAGAAGAGGATTTCTGTCCACTTCAAACCATGTTTCAGCACTGAGCGTAAAAGGTCTTTTGGGTAGGCAGTGTTAGTATAGCATCAACGTACATCACACAATACCAGTCTACAGCTCCATTTCGCATGATGGCTTCTATTAATCATGACTCATGGTTTCGTAGAGCTAGTTATAAGTGTTTTCTTTGATCCTATCAGAAAACAATGAAACTTTACAAACCAGAATGATGTATGGTTTTCAGTTTTTCAGTTGCCTGAAAGCTTCTGAAGAAGGGGGATAGTAGAACAGGGGAGAGGGGGAAAAAAAAAAAGGTGTGGGGTAGGAAGACATTCTTTTCAAAAATACTAGAACAATGCCTGATGTTTCTTCTAGTGTGAGATGATGGTAGCCATATGACTAGTACACACAATGTTTTAAGAGTATATAACAGTGTCTAGAGATGCTCAGTAAATAAATAGTTCAAGTATTTATGTCTACACAAAATAGTCAAACTCCATGAATATTAGAAGTATTTAAGATTTTAAGTAAAAGCTTAGATATAGCTCTCTCTCTCCTGCCCTGAAGCTACTTCCATTAAAGTTAATAGCGTGTCTGGTTTCCAGAGAATTCCTATGAAATGTACTGACAGTGGGGAGCACTTGCTTCGATAACTGTATTTGAAATAGCTTATTAGTGCCTATTGCTGCAATATGTGATAGAATAATAATCATATTTACTTTGAGTTTTCTCTAACTACATTTTCTACATCCAGATCAGGGTATAGTTGTAAAAGACGCTCAACTTTTAAAAGAAATCTGGGAGACTATGTTGCCAATTTCCAAATCAGTGATTAGAAATGGACGTGTTGCTGCCTAAAGCAGACAGAATGTTTCCCAGGAACAAAACCTTACCCTAACCTTACCTTTTGAGCATCATCTCCTAATAACTGGTCCTTGAAACACTACAAAGAAGCATATAAATGTTCACATCTTTCTCAGAAAGATAATCAACAACAGAAATTATATCTAAAATTTCAAATATAGGAAAATCTAGTAAACACGTCTTCCTTTCTTTATCTAGGCATTTATTCTACTTTGAAATTGAATTTTTAGACTAACAAAGCATTGCTTTTTCTCAGTGAAGGCCCTTCCATATTCCTATTTTTTTGTTCTTTTTTTCAACCAGTTATAACATTCTTTCATCAAGATTGCATTATTTTCTGACAGAAAGGATCAGGTGTGTGTATTCTGGTGAGTAAAGAAGGAATTGCAATATACCTGAGATCTCTACCTTATTGCAAAGAGGTTTGTGAAGATAGCATCAACTTGAGGGTGAGAAAAGGGACTTAATTGATATCTACAGAAATTTTGAAGAGAATGATACAAAGTGAGACAGCTTTGGCATGTACTTTAAATCTAATATATCCATATATTTATTTTGCACATAATACACGGTTATATCAGAACATAAGGGATTCATTGGTCCTAAGAATATGTCAGCTTTCATTGGTAACAGCTTGAGATGTGCATCAGTTTCATAGCAAGATCATTTTTTCATCTAAATGAGGTGTCACCCTGCAGAGGGAGCTGTTGGGTTATCAAGCCAAATATTACTATTCTGTTTTTATTGCTGGAGTTTGACTTTTTTTGTGTGTGTACTTGGTTTGTTGTTTGGTTTGTGTGTGGTTTTTTTTTTTTTTTGTTTTGTTTTCATAGTGAGCTTGCATGAATACTTACAGATTTAGTTTTCTTCAGGCTTTGCTATGTTTTGCAGAAGCACATCTCTTAAATTGTTTGCCCTCCCTAGAGGTGACAATTACATGCTTAGTGCTTTCTCTACAAATGAAACAAGATGGGAAGAGAGGTCCATCCTGTTCCAAAGTACCAAGGACAATGCTTAATTTGTATAAAATGCAGCAGATCTCACAAGGGTACAAACTGTCCAAGTATC